TGAAACTATGTAGACTAAAATGATATTTCGCTTGAACTATACTAATGATATAATATATCCTAATTTTTATTGTTTTTTAAATTTTCACTTCTGAGATTATGTGTAAGGTAAGGAACATTGAAAATTTTTAATTGAGTCATACACATTGTCCCAACTATCTTTGTCTCATAAATTCGTTGCTTTCTAGAAAGAGATATGGTTGAAAGTGTAATGTTAGAGATATAAAATTTTCTACTAAATAAATAACCAAATATCCCGTCGAGTCCATTAAATAACTTTCGCTGGTTTATTGAAGTAGGTAATGTTCATAAGGTTGTTTTTATCTCTTAAATCTAACGTCTTTTTCATAACGTTTATACTTACAACTTTTTTTTTTTTTAAATTTTAACTTCTGAGATTATGTGTAAGGTAAGGAACATTGAAATTTTTTAATTGAGTCATACACATTGTCCCAACTATCTTTGTCTCATAAATTCGTTGCTTTCTAGAAAGAGATATGGTTGAAAGTGTAATGTTAGAGATATAAAATTTTCTACTAAATAAATAATTAAATATTTCGCATAGATGTGGAGTCTACAATTTTATGAATCTCACACTTATATAAGACATTTAATTATTTATTTAATAAAAAAATTAAAATTTATAACATTTTCCTCGTTGAAATCATCACAAGAAGTTGTGAACTAGTTGAGCTTTTTTTAATCTTTTTTTTATATATTTATTTATGTTTTGTGTACTGATCAAGTAGGTGAATTAGCTCAGCTTGGTAGCAGGAGTAGTTATGGTGGTTCATTACTCATCCAAAAATCTATTGGTTGTCCTTTTAAATCATATTCAAACTTCCATTTATCATTACAAAAATAATGGCTCTGTTTGGTTAAGGGTGTGGAATCATAATTTCACCTTTTTATTTTACTGTTGTATTTGGATATTGTGTGGGTGATTTTCCGACCACACTGCCCGCTTAGTAACCAGCTGGAGAGCACTGGCAGAATAGATGGCCCCTGACTGACCTGTAACAGAAATATAAGAATCCTGCGGTGGTTTCGACCACCCGGGGGCACTCCGACGATCAAGCCAGTATATCTCTCAAAGATAATCAAGTACTAAACTCACAAGCTTGAGTATCAAAAGCATACCTCTGACCCATGGGGGTGCCTCCCAATAGGAGCCTCACCCTAATGGACTTAGGATTGCTGCTAACCTGGGACTCCCAGTGAGATTAGGATAAACTCTCTAAGAGTCTTATCTTTACCCAAACTGAAGTCTTCTCCCAATCTAGGACTCTTGTCCATATCCAAGTTGAGTTCCCTCTTCATTCTAGGACTCTTGTCCCTTATCCGCTTATCTCGGTTTCCGATATCTTCGGAGATAACCTCGGCCTTGCCGAGATCACCTCGGCATCACGACCAGGACACGTGGTACCTCGGCTGACACGTCGGCGTCACCTTGCCACGTGTTGGTATTCAGAAAATATATCCCCACAGATATAGTTTTTAAAAATTAATTTCACACCCATGTTTGAAAATTCTTTTCAGAACATGTTTGGCAGATTGAGTTTTTGAATTTTAAATTTTGAAATTGAGTCTACCCGATCGTCCGCCTGAACATCCTCCAGGATAGTTTTTGAATTTTTAAGTTACCCGGTCGTCTGCCTGGAAATCCTCTTGGACGGCTGATTGACCAGGACAGTGTTTTTTTTCTTTTTTACAATTGCCATTTGTTATATGAAAAAAAATTGGCAAATGAAAAAAACAAATATATATAAATATATATATATTTGTTTTTGATATGTTTAAAATATATAAATTATTTTTTTTAGACTAAAATGACAAATTATTTGGCCATTTATTTAAAACTAAAAAAAAATTAAACAAAAATTAATTTGTCACAATAATTTTTAAAAAATAAAAAAACATTTTTAAACAAAATAATTAAAAAAATTTCCAATTAAATATACAATCAAAAGTAATTTTAAAACACTAGTTGAATATTTTTTTTTTAAAAAATAATATATATTTTTAAATATTTTAAATAAAAAATATTTTCGGAATTTTTTGAATTTTTTAAAAGAAAATTTTATTTTTTTCAATAATTATTTTTTTGAATTGAATTTTTAATAAGAGTTTTGAATAGAATTTTCAATACAATTTTGAGTTATGTGTTTGGTTATGAGTTATAAGTTTTTGAATTAAGTTTTAAAAACTTTTTCAAAATTTATAACCAAACAACTCTTCTTTTTTCAAAATTTCAAAACTCAATTCAAAACTTTTTTAAAATTTATAACGAAACAAAATTTTCTCTTCTCAAATCATAATTTAATAGCTCATAAATTCAAAATATAATTTCATTCTAGAATCATGATTCTAAAACTAAACTAAAAACTACCAAAATATTCTCTTTTGTCAACCACTAATTCTAGTGGATGATTAAAAAAATCATTGTTTAGCTTAGATAATTGAAGCATATGGAGCATGATTACTTAATTAGTCAGTATAGTGGGACGGCTCAAATTTCAATGACTGGATTAATGGTTAGTTAAAAGGTTTTAATTTTCGCAAAATAATCCCTTTTGTCAACCACTAATTCTAGTGGATGATTAAAAAAATCATTGTTTAGCTTAGATAATTGAAGCATATGGAGCATGATTACTTAATTAGTCAGTATAGTGGGACGGCTCAAATTTCAATGACTGGATTAATGGTTAGTTAAAAGGTTTTAGTTTTGAAAAATGCTTGGGAGCACTAATTAGTACTCCCACTAATTAGGTGGCAGTGGGTCCCGCCATTAATGATGTGATGTTTTGGTCTTAGAGTTGTGTTTTTTTTTTTTTTTACTTTTTTAATGCATTAGTGTTATTAGTGATAATATTTTTAATGGAATGAATCATTATTGTTTAATTTTCGGTCCTACATAAGGCTGTCCCTGACTAGATCGGATAATTATCTCATACAAATAAGAAAGGGAGGCAAAGGCGAAACTATGAGTAATTTCTTATTAGGAGATAAGATTGTGTACAACTTACCCTCCCAAAATCCCCACTTTATCAAGTTTAATGTGTGAAATTACTCTTTTTATGAGATATATCTTATGCATAAAGACATCATCGTCTTCAAGAACCAATACAAAGTTTCTTCCTTTACAAATTTCAAACCTAAACACTCTATGGCTCCGTTTGGCAAGAGCTAAATGAAATTTTTTTAGCTATTTTAACCACAAAAGATAAAATAGGCTATTTTAGCCACAGAAAACAAAATATCACATCTAACCCATAATCATTACATTCTTCTTTCACAAAAAAAGTCAAAAAAACCAAAAGTCCTTCCCAAACCAAACTTTTTAGCCTAGGCTAAAATAGCCAAAAAAGTCAAAAAGCCAACCTACTTCCCAAACGGAGGCTATGGCACTGTGTGGTTTTATGGGCTTTTTTTTTTTTGACTATTTTAGTTATAAAAGATAAAATAGGTTATTTTAGTCACAACAAACAAAATATTACATCTAATCCATAATCATTACACTTTTCTCTCACAAAAAAAGTCAAAAAAGTTAAAAAATCAAAAACTCCTTCCCAAACCAAACTTTTTAGCCCAGGCTAAAATAGTCAAAAAAGTCAAAAAGCCAAAAAGCCAACCCACTTCTCAAACCAACCCTATATGTCCTTAGCGGTATTTGGTGGAGCTTTGGAAATATGATTCCACACTTTGGTTTGAGCGTTGTGTTTAATTAGAATTTTAAAAAATTAATTTCACACCTACTTTTGAAAATAGGTCTATCCGGTTATCTTTCCGGGTGTCCTCCCGAACGTCCGACCGGTTGAAAAGAACAATAACCTTGCTTGTTTCCATTTTTCAAAAAACATTTATCAGAAAATTCTATTTTTTTATTTTTCGTATTTTTTTTATTTTTACTGAATTTTTTTAATATTTTAAACATTTTTTTTTTACTTTTTAGACACATCTAACATAAATACACTTAAAAAGTAAAAAAATTGTAAAAAAATTTTTTTAAAAATTTACTAAATACTAAAAATATTAAAAAAATACAAGAATTCAGTAGATTTTTTGTATTTTTATGTATTTATTAATTTTTTAAAATATTTTTCACAAATTTTTTACTTTTTAGATACATCTAAAGGTTTGTTTGAAATGTTCTAAATAAGTGCACTTTTTGACTTTTTATGAAATATGGGTTAGATTTGAAGTGATGTGATAGAGATGTGATGTAACTTAAATAAGATGATGTGACTTAAATAAGATGGTGACTTTTTGACTTTTTGACTTTTTTTAAAGATGTCAAACTTAGCCTAAGTAAGGTGCATCTAAAGAAGTAAAAAAAAAATGTTTAAAATTCTAAAATTATTCACTAAAAACAAAAAAATACGAAAACTAAAAAATCAATTTTTAAAAAACTTAATTCAGAAAACTCAAATCAAACACACTGAATATTTTTTTTTTTGGCAATTGACACATGTTATTTTTTATATTTTAAATTAAAAATATTTTTTAAATTTTTTTATAAGTTTTGAATAAAATTTTGAGTTGTGTATTTGGTTATGAGTTGTAAGTTTTTAAATCAAATATCATATGTCACATCAAAAATTTTAAACTCATAGCCAAACAAATTTTTCATACTCAAATTATAATTTCAAAACTCACAAATTTTTAAAAAAATTCTATCCTCAAATCGTAACTCTAAAATTTTACCCATCGCTACCATTTTTTATGCAAATTGCAAATCAATGAGAAGAAAAGGAAAGAAAAGGATTTCCCTTTCCCCTATTCACCTTCAAAACACTAAAAAAATATAATGAATATAATTTCTGATTAATAAGGGGAGAAAAAAAGCATGCCATGGTTTTGATTTGGTTTTCTTGGAAAAATTAGTACCTTCAATATCATGGCTTATTTGAAAAAAGTTAGATTTTCATTTACTTCCCTAGATTTTTTTTCTTTTTTCTTTTTGGTCTCTTTAGAAAGTTAAAGAAGAAAAGCAAACCCATATATAAAGAAAACAAAAAAGGCTAGGAAGAAGCCTCCATTAATGATCAACATCATCCACTATACAAGATTTCAAGACATGAAAGACTATTAATTAAACCTTATTTCTACCAAAGAAACATTGAGACCTACTCAAACTTTTATTCTAATTTTTTTTTTGTTTTTGTTTTTGTTTTTTATCTAATAATAAGAGAAGGATGAATCATCTACTTGTGATGTGCTTGCTGATCTTGTGTACTTCTTGGACGGTGACGATGAGGATGAGGATGAGGATGAGGATGAGGATGATGAAGACGATGGGGACGATAACAGATCACCTGACCTTCTCCTCAGCATCTGCCTCATCCCATCTGCAACTCGAATGGCGGGGTTCGATTTATATTTTCGACAAAACGACATGTGAGCCTTCACAGCTTCTTCCATCTCAGACTTCCCTCTGTGTACTTCATCCCTAACAGCTTCTGAGCACAACCCACATAGCCATTTCCCATCAAATTTGGATTTCACTTCATTGATGTAGTCTTGGGTGCAGTCTTCTTTCAACCCACAACACTCACACTTCGCCAATTCAATCTCCATATCTTCTTCTTTTTTCTTTTTCTTTTTCTTTTTTTTTTTTTGATTTTCTAGCACTGAAAGGATTTGAATTCTTAGAAGGTATGGTTGCTTTCTAGTAGGATATGTATGATAATTTTCATCATATAGTAAGAAAGTGGATATCTGTTTTTGGGCTATGGTTTCTTAATTGGGGGGATTGATGGCTTTGGTGCCATAAGAACTAAGAAGTGTTGGGTGTTTGTATGAGAGCCTTTGTGGTTGGAAAGACTCGTGAAGGAGAGGGAGAGAGAGAGAGAGAGAGAAAGAGGGAGAGGGGAGGAACTTATAGTAAGGAAAGCGTGAGGAAATAAATAAATAAATATAACAGTGGTATAATTTTATTTTGGGAAGACTAAATAAATGTACTTTTTGACTTTTTTTATATTATGTGTAGAAAAAGTAGAGAGGAGATGTTGATTGATGTGACCAAAAAAAGATAAAAAGATGAAATAAGTGCACTTTTTTCTTTGTAGCCAAACTTGACCATAGTGTCACTATTGACACCTAGGTGGCGTTTGATTTTGGCTTTTTTAGTTGATTTTTTAATTTTTTTGGTAGTGTTTGACAAGTGGCTTTGGGACTAAAATAGTCACAGAAGACAAAATAGGCTATTTTAGCCACAATAAATAAAACATCACATCCAACCCATAACCATTACACTCTTCTCTCACAAAAAAAGTCAAAAAAGTCAAAAAGTCAAAAAGCCCTTCCACTTCCCAAACGGAGGCTGAGCTAAAATAGCCAAAAAAGCCAAAAAGCCAAAAAGCCAAAAAGCCAAAAAGCCAAAAAGCCAAAAAGCCAAAAAGCCAAAAAGCCAAAAAGCCAAAAAGCCAAAAAGCCAAAAAGCCAAAAAGCCAAAAAGCCAAAAAGCCAAAAAGCCAAAAAGCCAAAAAGCCAAAAAGCCAAAAAGCCAAAAAGCCAAAAAGCCAAAAAGCCAAAAAGCCAAAAAGCCAAAAAGCCAAAAAGCCAAAAAGCCAAAAAGCCAAAAAGCCAAAAAGCCAAAAAGCCAAAAAGCCAAAAAGCCAAAAAGCCAAAAAGCCAAAAAGCCAAAAAGCCAAAAAGCCAAAAAGCCAAAAAGCCAAAAAGCCAAAAAGCCAAAAAGCCAAAAAGCCAAAAAGCCAAAAAGCCAAAAAGCCAAAAAGCCAAAAAGCCAAAAAGCCAAAAAGCCAGC